GAGAAGTATGCTGAGAAGGTAAGACCGCTCGGGTTTAAAAGGGTTGGAAAATTTCCAGTAAATTTCCATGGGAAGTTCAGATGGGGAATTTTGGAAATATTCCAAATTGGAAACACGTTTTGTGTTACCCTCTGGCATATTTTTCATCCAAAAATGGTGGTTGGATTCCAATTACTCTGGCTCTGGGGATTCACGACGGTCTGTGACAACGTTGCGCTTGATGGTGTACAAGTGATTTTGACACCCGGTGAAGCGACCTCTGAGGTCAGGGAGTCATTAGCCGTCCTCCTCCATGGAATCACATATCCGATGTCACACAATCTGGACAGTAGTTGATATCCATATGTGCGTTGGAAAAGCTGAGTTAGCTCCTTTTGGAAAATTCGGCTCCATTCATCATAACCTGGCGCTTTGAATTTTGATGGAATATCATGAGATTGTAGAGGCTGGACACTTTTTGTGTGTGTGTGTGACAGAAGAAGACTGAGGAATCTGAGATCAAGAGGAGGAAGGAGGCCAACCTGGTCATCTTGCACGCGCCCTCGGCCGACAACTCCAACTTGTCGGCGGACGGCGACGACTCCTACATCAGCGTGGAGATGGACTCGGCCATGCCCAGTCCCTTTAGCGAGGTGAGGCCCAAGGGGATTTGTGAGGTCACGTCTCACATCCAACAACTTACGTCGTGTCTCATTCTTCATTTTGTCCTTACAAATTCTGCTTCTCGTTTCCTCTTCCCATCCTCTTGATGTTATCCCGTTTGCTCCCGATACCAACCCCTCAACGGGTCAATTCCCTTTCTTAACTTTCCTGGTACCGGGCTCTATCCCCTGAACCCTACGTATGTATCCTGACCCCCAGCCTGTGTGCTTGTCTCCGTGTGCTCCTTTCGGCCACCAGATCTCGCTGAGCAGCGAGCTCCAGCCCGGCTCGCTGCCGCCGGACGCCGAGGCGGACGAGAGCAGCAACGACATGCTGGTCATTGTGGACGAGCCGGTGACTTCGGCGCCGCAGTCACGAGCCACCAACTCCCCCGCCTCGATATCTGGGTCCGTCTCGGACAACATGAACGGTACAGTGCTCCCGTGCTCAACCACGGTTCATCATCCGTGCCCCTGCTATATCATGTTCTTTTAAATACGATATTATCCACACTTTTACTCTTCTATTGAAGTGCGCCTCGCGGTATGCAGTTCAGTTTTTAAAAAACAAGCTCCAAGTAGTCACCGCTGCCAAGCTCCGCCCGCTAGTCCTTCATTGTTATAAGCCATCCCGAAAGTGTAAAGTGGGCTGACCCTTTTTTGGTTTAGTGCGCTGAACATTTGCAAATAGAATTTGTAGACCAGTGACGGGGAGATTCGACTGGAGTATTTCACAAACAATAGCGCCTGACAATGGGGAAAATATGGGAAAAGTTCCTTTTTCTTGTTCCCTTTTATGTGTTGGTGTACAATGCTGTGTTAAAGTCCATTCCTGATTGAAATAATGGAACGGAATAAATTTGTGAACCGTAAAATACCACGTAATAAAAATATAAATATAAATAGAAAAATAGTGCTAGATGAAAATTTAACTTTTTTTTTTTTTTTTTTAAATATAGACCAAAAATACCAAACATTTGACAAAAAAACAAAACAAAACATTACAGCCATTAATATATGGGATATTAAGCATTCATGATTGTACATTTTGCTCTCCTGTTCAGGTATTTTGACCTCAGATACCGTCAGCCCGGGCAGAGGGAGGTCGGGCCGGAGTCGAGGGCGTCCTAAAGGATCTGGTGGTGGTCCCAAGTCCGGAGGTAAAGGCCGCGGACGCAAGTCAACAGCGGGCAGCGCGGCGGCGATGGCGGGAGCCATGGCAGGAGCGGCAGCCGCCTCGGCGGCGGCGTACGCCGCATATGGCTACAGTGTTTCCAAAGGTTGGTGTGATGGAATTAAAAAACAAAAATGTCTAAAAATGGTGGTTGAAGCGCTCTCATGTTTCACTCCTCTTCCAGCGGGCTTGGCTGTTTCAAACCCACTGCCTTCCGTCGGTCGCCCCGGCCCCGCCTTTAACCCCGCCAGAAGTTCACCTCCGCAGGCCAAGGGCGTCGGCACAGCTGCCGCTCCAAGCCCCGGCAAGCAGCTGGTTCACGGCCACCACCAGCTTGTCAGGAAGAGCAAAGGACCCCAGTGATGCACTCATCGAAGTGCGCTCCCATTAGACCACACAATTGACCTTATCTCACTGTGATCATTGAAATGACCCCCCCCCCCCCGGCCCCCTCCACAATGGTGCCTAAACCAATAAACAGTACAGTGTTAACTTCAAGACAACTGCTTATTGTCACAAATCACCTTCCAAGCTTAATTTTAATGTGGTCAAGTACTTGCCCCCAGACTTCTCCTCCACACTTCCAAGGGCTGTCCACTGAACTGAGCGACGCGTTCCGTGTACGTCAGCGACCCGAATCCCCTAGGTTATTTGACAATTTCGCGGACCACCCTCCATTTCACGACTGACTCCAAATGTTTCCAGCTTTTCTACTGAAAAATAGGCTATTTTTTTAATCCCTAAAGACAAGCGTGGCAGGTCTTCACATTCGGACACTGAAGCCAGCAGGATTTCTGTCAATTTTTCTGTTCATTGTGTCTTGTAAAAAATGTTCCAAAATGAGGGTCAAACGACAAATGCTGCTCATGGAAACTGAATTATTTCAACGCAAATAGTTTGTGGTCTAGGAATTAAGTTATTTCAGTTTAGAGTCACCAATTTGCTGTAACTGTGAATAGGACATTCACTTGTAAAATTTGTGTACATTGTATCGAAGTCACTATATATCTGCTGTATCTATATTTTTGGGGGAGCAGCTCCTGCGCTTGACGAACATGGGTCTTTTTTGGTGTTGTGTGAGTGCCCATAATAGGCTTATGTTGAAAATGTGACTACAAGTAGATGTTCCCCTGTATCATATATACAGTATATAAACACAAATACATGTGTGTACATAATGATGAGGGCGCCGTCGTCTCTGGCTTCCACCTATGCCCTCCTGTCTATTTTTATAAGTCACGTGTATATTATGAACAAATGGATCTGTCATTTTACTAACAGGAAGAATCATGTGGAAATAAAGAGTGCTAAATCCGTCATGTGTTTGATTATGTCTGATATAATGCTGATTTGGAATCAAGATCATACTACAAACCTATTAATGCCATTAAGAGTCATGGAAACATTGGGAATATGTTTGTAAATATGCAGTTTTGTGAGACTTTAACATGTTATTTTCTCAATTACCACAGGATGGGGTTGTAGTTGATGAGATTATAATAATGTCCGTGGTCCTTTGGGGGGGGGGGGTACAATATAATTACTTTGATCCAGTTTTGTAAAAATTATTTCATGTAAAAGCATAAAATAAAAGTATAAAATCTATATTAAAATTACAAAACCATTAGGGGGAAAGACAAAACTAATACAAGTATGGGCGTCTATTAATTTTTTTATTCACTCAACAAAATGTCGGAATTCATTTCCCACAATCCTCAGCTGTCTTCAAGCTCGCGTTTTACACGGTTCAGTCGCTTGCTTTCACACCGGTTCTTAATTAAGTTTACACAGGTAAGAAGTCCAACGAATGTATAAAATGCACGACACAGTTCGTTGTATGGCATTTATTAAATTTCTTCGGGGGTTGTAAATGGTTAGTATGTTTATATCCCCCCACAGTGCGTTTAGACACAAACAGAAGGGGTTTTAGTAACGTTTGTGTGTGCGTGTGTTAGTGTGTCTGTGTGTGTTCTACCATCGAGTTCGCATGCTACCGTTAACGAATTATTTCGGACATATTTTTATTTCCAAAGGAAACTGACAGACAACTGCAATGGGGACTTTCATGGAGCCTGCTCACTACAAACAGGCGGTAAATTGAAGCAATAATTATATATTTTAGGTTTAGTTATACATTTGCATATTAATAATGATGAATTGATTATGCTTGCAATGAAGAATGCTTATGCTCTAAATAAATATATGCTCATACTTCTAATAAAGAATGCTTAGTACACTGTGTGACAGTTGAGGGACACAACCACCTTTCGAGAATGTGGTTGGAAAGAGATATAATGGAACGCATTATGAGAAATGTTTAAATAAGTCACCTTACCATATTAACTGGAAAAGGGTTGTGCTGCAAACCACTAGCAACGTTTGTATAAAAGTTTTGTGTGAAACTCTCAAAAGCAGCAAAAATACAATTAATTTTTGTCACGTCACATGCCTAAAAAAAGGTGAAGCCTTTTTGTGTAAACTATATCCTAATGATGCTCGCCTTCACCTTCAGCTGAACCCATAACGCAAATCTACCCCTGAAATAAAATCGTGAAAGTATATAGTCAAGTTATTCAGTTAGTCACCGGTCCATTTAACTATGACTTTACTAATACAAATGTAATGTTTACAATTTGAGAAACATCTTTTATTACGTAGAAAAGGTAAGAGTTTTCCCATGATGTCGCACACCTCTGGACTTGCCGAAGGCTGCCATGTTTGATGCCTTGTTTTGTACCACTGGTGGTTTTTGTTTGAATAGTTTAATTTGATGGCAGATGTTAAAAAAAAAAAAAAATACTGTGCAATGTTTGCCTGGGAGGAGCAACAAAGTCTAACTTCTGCCTTTACTGACAGGTGGGAGCATGAAAGTCTCATTTCTCCATTTCCTGGGACCAGTGTGGAATCAGGATGAGTGAACAGATTTGTCAGTTAACACATGGAGATTGTGTTCATCTCTCTGGCCAGATACCCTGTCAACACATCTGTGTTCTGAAAACTTAAGGTAAGGTTGAATGATTTGCCGCCAAAAATATGTATTTGTGCACACAAAATACTAATTTGTGGGGTTGAAAGAATTTCCATCGATTTTGACATCTGGGTAGAGAAAACGGCGCATTCCTGTCCCTCTACTGTGTGTATAACCCCATTTTATATATATGTAAAAAGAAAAAAAACAACATAGCTTAGTCTTTCAATATTTTTATTCTCATGCTGATGAACATTACCTTTTGCATTCATGCGTGTGCATAACCTTGCACGAATGGACAGAACTGTGCAGAAAATTAAAAAAAAAAAAAAAACCAGAAAAAGGTTTAGTATTACAGTAGTTATGTTAATGCTTAGTGTTACTCGATGAAACAGACCAATAGACAAGCCTCGTGTGCATTTAAACTACTGGGCCTCCAACAAGTAGGAGACCATGGCCAGCGCCGCCGCCTCCACGGCAAACAGGTGCTGGTCGTCCACGTGCGGGCATCTGGTCCGCATGAAGGCGGCCAGTCGCAGCAGGTACTCCAGGTTGTGACCCGTGCGGCCTTCACACACAGCGATGCGCGCACCAATCTCCTCTGGTGCGGCGGGCCCCAGGTACAAGGGGTTGTCGGAGGTGGCGATGTACAACAGCGCTGATACTGATGGACCGCCTTCCTTTGGGTGGAAGGCCACCATCTCAGTGATGTAGCCGCCCCGCACTGCCTCGCGCATGTTCAGGTAGTCGAGGGCCGGCTCCACCTGGTCGCCCCTCACCTCGAAGGCCACGCCCCATGTGCTCGCCTAGAATGTGAAGACAACCAGGTGAAATACTGACACCATTAACTCGCGCATTTTTTTCTGTTGAAACTAGCGTTGGGTGTTAAAGCATGAGATAACTAATTTGCATCGTAAAGTCAAGTATTGCGGAACAAAGCCAGCTAATGCGTCAGAATGTTGGTAACCGAAGCCATCTGTGCCGAGACGTCGTGGCAGGACCATATATGCTAAGTATGCGGAAGTAGGGCTACTTACGTCATCCTCTGGAATCAACGTCACCACTCTTCCGGGCTGTCGAGAGAAAAGAGAAGGCTTTCATGAGACAACACCCTTTGGGTGGTTCACCTCTCGCAAAAAAAGTAAAATCAAAAAACGACAAATATAAACTTACCAACTCATCGTTACCGCGGTGGAAGTTGTCCCCGTGCCAGAAACGTCTCTTGTAGTCTCGAATGTAGCCCACTTTGCTCTGCTTGTACTTGAAGTCGGGCTTCCACACCAGCGAGCCGTATCCGAAGATCCATAGGCTACTACTGCTCTTTGGGACCAGGATGTCTTGAGGCTTCATGTTGTTTGTTACGCACAATGTTTACGAAGAAGACGATGGATGTAATCGTTTGGGGCTCGCGCTAAACTAGCTGGCTACGAACGTTAGCTTCCTCCGGTCCAGCAGCAGCGGTACCGGTTGGCTCGATGGTATACCGCGAGCGGTATTGGAGCCCAACTGCTTGGCAGTTGCGAGGACGCGGTTGCGCGAGGGTTTTTGCCGATGCATCGCCATTTGCAGTTACTCTTGCCGCATAGTGCCCTTTAAAAAGCCATGGTTGGTGGTAGCCGCTCGGGGCCTAACGACGAGACGAAAAAGAAAGACAGGCGGATTCAGCCGGCTGCTCAGCAGGCTTAAAAAAATGATAATACACGCCTAATAACAAAATGTAATAAGACGTTATATAAAAAAATCTTTTTTCGGCTTTCTCTCAGCGATACCTTCTGTCAATCTCCTTTGCTCGACGGAATAATGGCGCAGCACTCGCTTATATATACACGCTTTATGGGTTGGCCGGAGGCAGGTTTTCATTTAAACCAATACGCATTACAGTAACCATATTTGCGTTTGAAGTCCACCCAATCAGATTCTAAAGCACTGAAATAGGACGGTCCTATGATCAAAATTGGATATCTTATTGGCTGAAGTGATTCGTGAAGTGACGCCCTCTCGCTTAATGTTATTGATCAATGGACCTGTCACTCAACCAAATTCAGAATGCGATTGGCTTACTGCGCTGCCACTCTTAATGTACTGCTTGTACAGTGCGGCTGACGCAACATTTTCTCAGGGTTTCAGAGCATTGGCTGCAAGCAACACCCCAAGAAATTGCATCAGATTTGTAGTTAAATGCTATACGGCATTTTGATTATCTTTTTAACATTATACTGCATAGCAGCGACCTTTTCATCAATGTTAACATATTTAATGCAATGTCGTCCTTTCATTTTTATTTTCAGAGTCCAATTTGTAGTCACTCAAAGGCCTTTTCTTGATGCTTGTTTACGTGAACCAACCAGAGGTGAAATATTCATGGACTGGACAGTTAATAAGTACTGTAATCAGTTTTTTTTTCATCGAATCATCAAAACAAAAGCTGTCTTTGACAACTTTGCATTGACAAAGATGAGGGTTTATTGACATCGAGGTATGAATTTAACAGCCTTGGGGATGATGCAATGCAATTGTACAACACACAATCATGAACATATTGTTAAATGAATATCTTTCTGACAGTGTTACACAAAAGTGAGCCCCGGATAACTAAACTTCGGCCATGTTTAAAATGTTGTACACCTAATACAGTATATCGGCTACCTCGCCATCATTTCGCTGCAGTGACAGGCTCAGACTGGCTCAGAGGCGTCGGCAATCAAATATTTGCCTCCAAACTACTGCTGCCTTTGTTGTTTACGACCTAAGCGCCTACATGTCCCTCTTAAACATGTGCATTATTTTGCCTCACTACTCCCAACAGTGGGCATCAGTTGGTCAAATCACTACGCAAACGGTAATGGGCCAGCTTTTTTGGGCCCTTGAACTCTACAAAATATCCACCAAAGCATGGCCTGTCATTTAACCACTGCAATTAAAGCATATTTAGACCAAATGTACTCCTGAGCCATGCGTCCAAAGTGTGCGTCCTAACTGGAAAAACAAGACGTCAGTCACAAAACTGCAAAGGCTGCGGTTTTTCTGGGACGCACGACACATTCCCTTATATGTCAGCGTCTGCCGCAGTGGAAAACATTCACCGTCACATTTTGAAAGAGCACTAAAGCACGGTATACCCAAGTATTTGCATTGTAAATGTCGAACATTTACAATTTACCGCTCCGGTCCCCACTGTATGTAACTGATGCGGTGGCATATTTGCCTGACTTGGGTGCAGGCAGAGTGAGTTCGAATCCCACTTGGTGGCAGTCTGAATGTTTCGAGATGTGCCGGAGGCAGCGAGTCTGACAAGTCGACTGGGATGGAAGCCATAATCACAATTTGGCATTTCTAAAGATAATGACGCTCTGAGAAAGATCATTCGTTGTGGCCCAATTGTAGAAAAGTGTAATTAGCTTGTGTTTGGGCTAATTACTAACACAAAAGTGATACTTGATGAGACTTCTGCTTCATCCACAATGTCAGCTTCCCCACTTTTTAAAACGTTATCCTCACAACAGGAGTTGATTAGTCGGCCTGTTTGCACTGTCGCTTCCTGGGAAAAAATAAATAAAAAACGTGTGCGTGAGAAAATCAGTCAGCCTCTGCCGCCATGCTCTGCATATATATTTTATTATTTTTTTTCATTTTAATCAAAGAGGAAACAGGAACTGATGTCAGCGAGTCACAAACAGGATGCTGTGATTATAACACAATGAAAATGCCTGGCGGAGTTGTGCGTGACGGTGACTTTGTGAAAGGTGCGTGTGTAGATGTGCACTGCTGTGGAACCTCGAGATTTTTGTGAAAACCTGATGTTGAGCCGCCATCAGCAAATCTCCTGAGATCTCAGCGCAATGGGCATCAAAGCATATTTTTTCTTTTAATGTGTCATTTATTACCCAAAAAGGAGATGAATGTAAAAAGTAGTAGTTGATACCAAGTACTTTTGTTGGGGGTGTTTCAGAATCACGCTGTTAAGCCATGTGTAGTGTTATTGATTTTATTTTGGTACGCTTGCTTCCTGTTTTTGTTCGATTGCTTTTCGTTTCAGAGTACTCTGCTGATTTGGGGCAGGTTTTTAATTGTGATAGGATTAGCCGCACCCACGAAGGAGTGCAGCATATTCTCAACCACAATCTTATTGGCTGAAGTGGATCGTGAAATGCATGCCCTCGATTCATGTCAGGGTCCTCAATCTATTCCTCAAAGGTTAGCGTACACAAAACAGAGATGTTTTTGTTATTTCCGAGGATTTATGGCACATGCACTGCCTCCCATCTGGTGTAAAGCCCGCCCTTTTGCCCCTTCCGCTTTGGTGAGGGAACACCCCCCACCATTGCCAGGCCCCCCTCCACCCGGCTTTGTTTGCCCCCCTGAGTGGATGGTACAGAAGCGGGTAGTAAAATATCACTTTGAGCCCCGGAGGGTGAGGCCGCCAGTTGGGGAGTGTGCATTCATAAGCGTGTGTTATTTTAATGGGTGCTTGAGAGCTGGCATATGCTGCTGCTGTTATGTTTTTTTTTTTTTAAATCCCCACGCACACACCTACCCCCCGTCCTCTTTACAGCATCTGTTTTCAGGGTGACGCGTGCGTGAGAGCATCACGGGAGGTGGGGTAGGGCTTTGTTTCACCGTTTCCAGCTCGAGGGGGCTCGGTCGCCATGGAAACGGATTTGAATTTCAAGCTAATTTGAGGGTCCGCGGAGAGAACACAGGGCGGGACGAGAGCCAAAGGCGTTTCCAGGAATTAGTCAAAGTAGTGATGCGGCAGGCGGGCAGGAAATGAGGAAGGATGAAGGATGGGGGTCTTTGCTTCGTGTCTCCCATCCATATCCCCCAAAATCCGAGTCCTTTATGTGATGCGCAGCTGGATTTCATATCCACAAGCCAGGTCGCGTTTATTCCGAATTCTGGCCGTCATTAAAATTGATCCTCCATGGAAAAGCAATAAACACAAAGCACATGTGAGCATTGAACACCTCGGAAATATTTTCAAACGCTTTTCCCCCCCACAAAGTTTATTCCTCAGAAGTTTGGTCCTTATAAATATGCATTATATACAAAATAATATTATAAAACATATAAAGAACAATGTGTCGTATTTAAATTAAACTCTGGAAATCACTTTAAAAAAAAAACAAAAAATTACATTAGTGGTTCTGTAGTTTTGAACTGTGTCATCGGCAGGCAGGCAGTGGTGGCGTGAGAGTCTTTTTGTGGTTGTCTCGTTCAGGTTGCATAGAAACTATGCGTACGTTTGACTGCTGTCAGTCTTTGCTGATTGAAAAGTATTTTCTTCATTTGTCATCTTTTGTAGTGCAAACAATCCAAGAGGAGACAAGGGCACAAATGTAGCATTTTCACCCCCCAACCCATCCCCACAACACCCTCCATTTTTTAAGGCTTCTAGTGAACTCGGGCTGCATGTAAATCTCCAAATTGAAGACATTCAGACATTCCTTAGTCTGCGTTGGTGACGTTGGATTGTGGTTGTTGACCCTGAGTTTTTGTGTCGTTTTCTTTTCTTTTTTTTTTTTGCATAGAAGGCGAAGGTGGCAAGAGTGACTGACAGGAGTGAGCGTTTTCTGCGAGGGCGGGGCTAAAAAAAAAAAAATCTCAGGCAACTTTCACTGATTGGTTGGCTGTAAGTCATCGTGGTGATGGTGATTATCACACAAGGCCAGAAATTGAGTGGCCGGGAGGCGATCCACCTTCGCCTCCTTTTCACCCTCCCGAGAGATAAGTTAAAATGTTCCTCCACCGTGTCCTCAAGTTTTCCAGAGAGCAGCGGCTGACACGTTGAAAAAAAAAAACAAAACAAAAAAAAAAAAAAACCACGACCTCCAAGTCTCTTCTCGCCATTTGTAAACAATCCAGAATGTTCCAATTCCTGCTTGATTGTGTTTCTGTGTCTCTCTTGCGTCACTTGTTTTAGACCTGCAGTTGGACAAAAGGAGAAGAGGTGGTTAGCGTAAGATCAAACGTAGCCTTTTATAGATGCTTAGTTGATTTGTGATAAACTTGACCAATGAAGTTCAGCTCCACTGTTGCATTGAAAAAGTGTTTGGGCATATCCATTTAAGCATGACCAAGCAGATAAGGATAAAAAAGAGAGGGGGGGAAAAAAGAATGAAGTGTATCTTAATTTTGGTCTGGAAATGAGTCCACAAAGCTCTCCTGGGACCCAACTGGTCCAACCCTGGGTGGAGTGTGCAAAAATTCAAAGCCCACCATTCAGAACTGTGGTTTTGCTTTTTATTTGCGGTCGACTTGAGTTAAGACCCTGTGGAACACAATTAATTCCAATGTCATGTTTTCTATTAAGATATAAAGTGTCCAAGATCCTGAAGTCGAGTCATATGGTGGAATGCAGACCTCTGTCAGGACGGAACAGTCCTAATTGTGTTTCAGTGCCTTTGTTGATACCCGACGCTTTGATTTGCCTGATTTTTGTCATTAAGATTTGTGTATGACTCTGAGAAATTTAGTAAAATGCCGCTCGTTAAGTATTTGGCAAATCAGTATTTTATCTTGACAATGATTGGCCGTGATCAGACAAGCTCCTCATTGACTCTTTCTACAAAAGAAGGTCACTTTTGTTTTCCATTTTCTCCTCAGTTATCCTTATGAGACGGCTGGAAGTTGTAATCTAGTTTATGAGAACATGGCAACATAATGTTATTGGGAAAAGGACAGCATTGCCTGGCTTTTTTTTTTTTTTTTTTGTGTGTGTGATTGATCTGACGTTAATGAGTAAACAAAGATACGGGTGGTTTCTTTCATCTTCAAATTCAAAACAACACTCTCAGAGGATTAGCGTGAATG